CCTGATCCGGACAGAGGGAGCTACGCGAGAGTGGAGCACGCGTCTGAACCACAACGTCCTCTTCCCCCCGCTTATAAGCCTCTCCCCCGCAATGCTTCCTGCGTTCCTGTTCGCGTCGCCGTCTTCCATTCCCTCCGACGCCCTCTCGGTCCCCACCCCCCACCTCCCACACCATGTCTGCCTCCGAAAAACCTGCGACGAAAAAGACCGACTCTGTCTCCGACGTCGACTCCAAGGAAGAGGTCAAGCACCTCGACCGCATCAACGTCGCCAGCAATCCAAACGCAAAGCTTGCAAACCCTCTCGACGGCATCTCCCACGATCAGCTCATTGCCGATGCTGCCGCATTCGCAAAGTCCCATGGCCTCGGCCACCTCTCCGACGTCTTCCAGAAGGGTGCCCTCGTTGCACAGGACCCTACCGCCTTCGAGTCCATCCCCATCCTCACCGAAGAAGACCGTGCCGTCCTCCGTCGCGAGATCACTCACAGATGGAGTCAGCCTCTCCAGCTCTACTATCTCGTCATCCTCTGCTCCATGGCCGCGGCCGTCCAGGGCGTGCGTATCCGTCTTGTCCTCCCTCTAAAATGCACCTGACTCATCCCCACTCCACCAGATGGACGAGGCCGTCATCAACGGCGCGAACCTCTTCTTCGCGCCCCAGTTCGGCATCTCCACCACCTCCGGCGACACCGGCCGCAACCAGTGGCTGCTCGGTCTTGTCAACTCCTCTCCCTACGTATGTCTCCCCTCTCGATCCCTTGTCAGCCCCCCGCTGACCCATCCCCCCCAGCTGTGTTGTGCGTTTTTCGGCTGCTGGGTCTCCGCCCCAATGAACAAGTGGTTCGGCCGCCGCGGCACCATCTTCATCAGCGCCTTCGTCTCCTTCATCACCTGTATCTGGTCCGGCCTCACAAACACATGGTGGCATCTCTTCATCGCACGCTTCTTCCTCGGCTTTGGTATCGGCCCCAAGAGCGCGACCGTCCCCGTCTACGCCGCAGAGTGCGCTCCGCCGGTCATCCGCGGTGCGCTCGTCATGATGTGGTCAGTAACCATCCCGCCCCGTCTTCCGTCGATCTCCGTCTGACCTCATTTGGCAGGCAAATGTGGACCGCGTTCGGTATCATGTTTGGATACGTCATGGATCTCGCCTTTTACAAGGTGCCCGACTCCAAGCATGTCCACGGACTCAACTGGCGACTCATGCTTGGCAGTGTGCGTCCGTCATTATACCAAATTCATCAGCTCCTGACGCGTTTTTTCTTCTTTTTCCCTAGGCGGGTGTCCCTGCGCTCATCATCATGTCCCAGGTGTACTTCTGCCCCGAGTCGCCTCGTTGGCTCATGTCCAAGGGTCGCTACGACCAAGCATACAACTCCCTCCTCCGCTTGCGCAACAGCGATCTCCAAGCCGCCCGTGATCTTTACTGTACGTCCGTTCTTTCCTGCGTTGACAGCGCCCATCCTGATAGATCTACAGACATCCACGTCCTTCTCGAGGCAGAGGCCGAGACGTTCAGCGGCCGCAACCGCTTCATGGAGCTCTTCACCGTACCCCGCAACCGCCGTGCGACCCTCGCGTCCTTCATTGTCATGTTCATGCAGCAGTTCTGCGGTGTCAACGTGATCGCGTACTACTCGTCCAGTGTCTTCACTGATGCAGGCTTCAACAATGTCCAGGCGCTGATCGCCTCCTGGGGCTTTGGCATGCTCAACTGGGTGTTCGCCTTCCCCGCGGTGTGGACGATCGACACCTTTGGCCGCCGCAACCTGCTGCTGACGACGTTCCCGCTCATGGCCATTTTCTTGCTCATGACCGGCTTCTCGTTCTACATTCCCGCAGGCAAGGCGCAGCTCGCCGTCGTCGCACTCGGTATCTACCTGTACACTATGGCGTACTCCCCTGGCGAGGGCCCCGTGCCCTTCACGTACTCCGCTGAGGCGTACCCGTTGTATGTGCGTGACATCGGCATGTCGTTCTCGACCGCTGTGCTCTGGTTCTTGTAAGTGCTTCTTGGCTGTTCTGTGCGCCGAGTCGTTGCTGACAGGGCCACAGTAATTTCGTCGTTGCGATCACCTTCCCGCGTCTGCTCGGCGCGTTCAAGCCACAGGGCGCGTTCGGGTGGTACGCAGCGTGGAACGTGCTTGGGTTCGTGTTGATCCTGCTGTTCGTGCCCGAGACGAAGGCGCTGTCGCTCGAGGAGCTCGACCAGGTGTTCTCCGTGCCGACGCGCAAGCACGCGACGTACCAGCTCAAGGCGCTGCCGCACAACATCAAGAAGTACATCTTCCGTATGAATGTCGGGGACCTGCCTCCGCTATACGAGCACGAGGGTGCTCTCGCATCGCCGAAGCACCTGGCGACTGCGGGGCATGCATAGTAGACTGGGTTGCGTCGGCGCTTGAGCTTGCCGGTGTATACCATCCGTGTATCTGTTACGATACTAATGACCTTTGCACGTTCACGTCCTGTAATCATAATTGTAATACATTCGCGATTTTCAATGCACTGCTGCCTGTGTGATGATTTGCAGGCGTTGGCGTTGGTGATGATGATGAAATCAGCATTTATATACCGCAACAAGCAAACAAATGTGCTAACAACGTGGCGATAACTGGCTCGTACAAGTAGAACTAATAAGACTGGGCTATCGCTATCGAGGCTTTGGGTTCCGGTACTCTAAGCTAGGGGTGTAAAGAAGTGTTGTCGTTCTCGTGGCGTGTTGTGTCATCGTGAATATTCCGCGTCGCGCGCATGGTGTGCCGCCTTGATAGGGAAGAGTATAGAAAATAAAGATTAAAATGGGATCTGAGCCTCAGGTAGCACACGCATGTGTGTGTTGTTCTCTGGTTGTGTGTGTCGTTGCGCTGGACTTGAAGCCTGAAGGCGTGGTGGCTGAGCGAGATCGTGTCCGCGTGATCTCGATCGCACCGCCATCTGCTGACTTTGTACGGAAAGGGAAGGTGGTCGCTGCAGCTCCTCACAGCTCTTTCGCTCCTCCCTCCTCGTTCCGTCGCTGCAGCGTACGCCCACCCCCCCCGCCGACTACAGCCCACCACGCATCTCAAACGGGCCCTCACCGCCTCACACCGCAAAGCGCCGCGTCCGGAGGCCGCCATGACCCAGACGTCTCTGCTGCAGTACGAAGCACCATGTGGGTGTCGTCCGCCGTGGCGCGCACATCGACGACGCTGACGACCCGCAGGGCCCGTGTACGCGCTCGACTGGTGCAAGACCGCCGCGCCCGGGCAGCAGCTGCGCCCGCGCTCCGCGTTCCGCCTCGGGATCGCGTCGCTCACGGAGGACTTCCGCAACCGCATCGCCGTCGTCGGCCTGCAGGACGAGCGCGTGCTCGTCGAGGACGACTACACCGAGTACCCGGACTTTGTCACCCTCGTCGAGGCGTCCCACGGCTACCCCGCGACGAGCCTCCAGTGGCAGGCCGCG